GTAATCATTTTTCTAGTGCTTGGTACTAGCACGATACATTGCATGGATTGATCTGTAAAATGATTCAAAGTCCACGAGGAGTGGCCGAAAAAGTAATTAAATAAGTGTGAGTGCGACGTAGGTTAGGAACATGGAGTTTTTTTTGTAAATCCTATTTGTATTTGTTGTACAAACACTCATTTGAATGAAAGAGTTCTGAAGGAGAGTGAGATGCTCTTCTGAAGATTTATTTTATGTTTGAATCGTTTTCGCAATTTGAGTGAATGTTCATTGTTTATTGTTTTAAAGTGCAATTCTGTAACTCTTAAAATTTCAGTTGGCACCAGAGCGGATTTTCGTTCATTTTATGATGATTCTGTAGACTTGTACTTGGGCAATAATGAATCACGACGGTGGTTCCATGTTGATATCTCCGTAACTAAATGGCTCGAACTACTCCTACTGAAAATCGATGATGACCTTATTCTTGCGTTCATTAGGAAAAGGAGCATGGGCGAGCATGGAGAATGGCTGGAAACATCCAGCAATGAGAACAGAACCAGATAATGGGCTACATGATATAACCGAGGAAGCACCCAAACAAAGAGATACTTGGATAGATCTTGAACGCATGCAAAAAGAGGCGAACTTTCGATCCCTATACGCAATTCTGGTGGTTGTTGATCAAACATGTTACAAGATGATAGTTCAATGCATGACTACCAAGAATGCTGATTCATCTTAGAACGTATGTTCGAAGGATCCAAGGTACTTAAACCCTCCAAGCTTCAGCAAGTAACTTTGTCCTTTGATGACATAAAAATGAATAAAGATGAGACCATTGGCATGTACTATTCGAGGTTATGTGATCTCGTAAATAAGAGTTTTATGTTGAGAGAAAACATATCTGAAGCACATCAAATCCAAAAGATCATGACTACACTTCTGTCTTGGTTTCGTGAAAAAAATACAGCACTTGAGAGTTTTCAACAAGTCAAGCCTCTTGATCTCGATAACCTCTTTGGTGATCTGAGAAATTTTGAGATCAACAACTATGACAAAGTCAAAACAAAGGTCTGGATCTGAAGGCGGTTGTAGTTCATAAGGCTGAAGAAAGTGACGAGAAAGATAGTTCGTTGGAAGACGATTTTGAATGCAAGAAAGCGTTTTCCTTAATTGCCAGAAACTACAGCAAAATGCGTCAGAAGCTGTATAAAAGTTAGTATAATGGCAAGACACCCAATAATTTCAGAAAAAGGCTCCTCGCAAGAGAAAAGCACCAAAATTCATTCCTCAAAGACTAACAACCAAAAAATTTAGAATGGTCATTGCAGAGAATGTATAAGGTACGCCATATTTTTAGTTTGAATGTGTCGACCTGAAAAGGAAGAACAAATCCCTGAAGGCGACTTGGGATGATTCAAATGGGGAAGATACTAAGGAACCTACATCTCATACAAACAATATATTAGTCCTCTTTCAGAACAAGTTCTTATGCCTTGAATCTACCCACAATCCTTTAGATTCAGAGGAAGATAAGATTCTCTCCCAGACTCTCAATTATGATTCTGATGAATTGTGTGATGATGTAGATCTGAACTCATGCGTTGATCCAGTACAGTTGCTGTCAATGGAAAAATGCCTTCAAGCCGCAACCACAATGAAGAACTTGCTTGGTCAAATCAAACCTCTCAAGATGCAAGTTCATCAAGGTAAATTAAATGAAGAGTTGGAACATTTGAAAAAGAAAGTGCAGAACATGCAAGAAATGAATTGGTCACTCAATGATCAACCAACTTCCTCCTTCAGTCAGGGAAATTGAAAATTCACCGAAAAAATATCTGAACCGCTGAATCATTCCCCGAACTTGGACAATAGAATACTCCTTCTTCAAGGCATAACTCAGCTTGCGGTTCAGTTAACGCACAATCTTTGGTCACAAGGAATTGAACACAGGGCCTCGGTGAATGTCTACATTCGCATGACACTTCTTGAAAAACACTCAGTAGCAAGAATCTTCCTCACCTTCGGTCCACTCCACGCCACGGAAGCAGTTTGCGATCTTCTTATTGCATGAAATCCTATCCATTTTTTTGTCGTACCTTTTGCAATCGGAATATATGGATTTACTCTTACTAGGGTATTTTTAATTTGTTTTTGGTTTCGAGAAGTGAAAGGTTAGCATTCAAATCTTACAATTAATGACTAGTAATAATGGTGGTATATATACATCAACAGCTAATGAATAGGTTCTTGTCATTTTTCTAAGTTACAATCAATGCGGTGTGCAAACTACGCGAAAAATATGCAGAATATTTTATTCGTATATGCAGTTCGTGAGATGAATGTGCAAAAAAATCGCAGATAGTGGTAAATTATGCGATTTTCAATTTGGATATGTGATTCGTGAATATGCGAACGTGTTACGCATAATCGTTAATGATACTGCATTATATATTTAGATATGCTAGTTTTAAACTATGTGAAACAATGTCGCATAATCATAAAATATGCTACGTTCGATTTAAATATGCAGTAACTTAATTTACGAAACTTTTTTCGCATAAGGTAAATTATGTGTTGGATTTGCATATGGGATTACATAATATGCGAAATTGTTTCGCATACTTGTTAACTATACATCCAGTTTAGATATGCAAGTCGTAAACTATGCGAAATAATGTCGCATAATTATCAATGATGCAACATTGGATTAGGATATATGATATCTAGATATGCGAATTTGCATCACATATGTCAAATTATTTAATAGATTCAAATATGCGATTAAAGAATACGCGAAAGTATTACATATAATTATTAACTATACGTCCAATTTGAATATGCATTGTCATATATGCAATAAAATCACGCATAATTATTAATTATGCAGTTTATTTGAATATGCACTTATTATATCGCATATCATTTCGTGAGTTGCAGGATGAAAAAAAAGTTTTTTATAAGACAATGTGTAAAAAAAATGCATGTATATATTGAGGTGCAAAAGATACCCGCCTATATAATTATTTACTTATTTTGTATGTACAAAATAGATGTCAAATCGAAACTCATCATAAAATGTAATTAATTTGATATATTACATAACAAATGAACACAAAAATTATTAACTTTAAAAATATATTCACAATTTAAATTAGTAATTTTCTTTTTAATTTTAAAAGAAAGACAAGAAAAATTAAGAAAAAATTCATTCCCTATAAACCACTTCTGGAATAGGAAAATATATTAAAATATAATTAATGTTTTTTAAAGGAGTACAAATATCTACTGTATGTATAGTTATTTTTAGATTCGAAATCGGTCCAAGCCAAATGAGAAAATATAAAAATTTGTGACATAGAATCCCGAGCATACGAGAATGCCACTTAGACTCCAGCTTATTCGAGAATCATATATAAGGGATATTTGTTGAGCATGAGAAACACATAATTTCATATATATATATATATATATATATATATAGGGGATGGATCCATTGAGACTACTCCTTAAAATGAGTACGTAAGACTCAATCTTAGCCACTCGTTTTGTCTACATCAAGGATTTATGTTAATGAATTAAAATATATATTAATTAAATAATATAATTTATTATTAGTTGACTCAGGCGTTGACCGTTGACTGTTGACTTCCGGCGAAAGTCGTTGACTTCTGGCATTGACCGTTGACTCTCGGCGTTGAACGTTGACTTCCGGCGTTGACCCGTTGACCATGATATGTATTGTGTATGAAGTAAATATAGTGAGGGAAAGTTAGTGTAAATATGTTGCAAAGTTATTGTAAAAATGTTGCACGGTTAGTTGTTTTTATTTGCAATGTTTAGTTGTATTCAGTTTGCAAGATTAGTTGTCTGTAGATGCAAGGTTAGTTGTCTTTAGTTGCAAGGTTAGTTATGTCTAGTTGCAAGGTTAATTCTGTCTAGTTGCAATGTTAGTTTTCTCTAGTTGCAAGGTTAGTTGTCTGTAGTTGCAAAGTTAGTTCTATCTTGTTGCAGGGTTAGTTGTTTTTATTTGCAATGTTTAGTTGTATTTAGTTTACAATGTTAGTTGTCTTTAGTTGTCTTTAGTTGCAAGGTTAGTTGTATTTGGTTACAAGGTTAATTGTCTTTGGTTGCAAGGTTAGTTGTCTTTAGTTGCAAGGTTAGTTGTCTTTGGTTGCAAGATTAGTTATCTTTAGTTGCAATGTTAGTTTTTACTAGTTGCAAGATTAGTTGTCTGTAGTTGCAAAGTTAATTCTATCTTGTTGCAAGGTTAGTTATTTTTATTTGCAATGTTAGTTGTACTCAGTTTGCAAGGTTAGTTATCTATAATTGCAAGGTTAGTTGTCTTTAATCGCAAGGTTAGTTGTATTTCGTTGCAAGGTTAGTTGTCTTTAGTTGCAAGGTTAGTTCACTTTAACTATTCTTTCATACATGATGCATACTAAGGTCAACGGGTCAACGCCATAAGTCAACGGTCAACATCAAAAGTCAACGCCGAAGTCAATGGTCATTCGGTCAATGATCAAAATAATATTTAAATAATTAAAAATAAAAAATTAAATAATAAAAATAAAAAATTATTATTTAAATCAAGATCTAAATCTTGTGGTTAGGAATGAGTCTTACGTCTACACTTTAAATAAGCGGATGCATTGGAACCAATTCCTATATATATATATATATATATATATATATAGAGGGTTGCGCTCCGGTGAGAATGGTGCTCAGTGAAAGAAATAAGAATAAATCGTAGTCATTAGATCATATGATCTAACGGCTCAAAAAAATGCTAATATTTATACTCATTAAGGGTAATGTAGTAATTACAACATACACAAACAATTAATATCCTGTGGACCCTACTAGAAATCAACAACACATCCTAACCAATCTGATCCCCTTTTCACGTCTCTCTCTCTTTCTCTCTCTCTCTCTATCTCTCTCTCATAGGCCCTGCGATTGCAAAATCTGAATCTCACTGGCACCTCTCTCATTAACTCTCCCACGTCCGCAATTCGATGGCGACGGTGGCGATACCAAGAGCCCCGGCGACAAAGACATGCTCCGGAGTTGTAAACTCGCTGGGAAAAAGCAACAACGGCGGTGGCAAGGTGAGGGCGACAGGTACGGGTGAAGGTCGTCTGACGGAGCCGAGCCAGAGTCGGTCCAAGCCCTGGCGGAGCAACCTGATTCTCCGTCGCCAACGCCGAGCAACCGCCACCGTCGGAGCCGCCATCACAGTCAATTTCCCTCTACCTTCACAAGAGTGTTGCGCCGCCGTTCAAATCGCCGCCTCCGGCGTCATCATCCACCGCCAAGCTCGACATAAACCTCCTCGATTCAGATGCAGCATCACCAGAAAAAAATCGACCTTCAAACTCGAAGGTCGAGCTTCAATGGCTGTTTTTGAGAAAAAAAAAACCATCGTCGGACGTCGCCGGACAGCGGCAGCTGAAGACTGAGACGCCGTAAGTCGCCGGACGGAGAAGCTGACGGCGCGGCTGTGGTGGGCGTGGAGGATGAATAGAATTAACATTTGATAATTCCCTCCCAGATCTGTTGCTGCGGTTTCTATAATTTTAGTCAATTTGGGGCTGGGTTGGTTTTTGTAAATTTGACATGTCTCAATGACTTATTTGCAATTTCTATAATTTTAGTTAAGTTACATTTCTTGGTCAAATATGTAATTTACAAGTATAATAAATGCACATTGATACTAAGCAAATTGCACAACATTGATTAACTATATGCACATTATAATTGTCTACATTTTTTATACATATATATATTATATTTTTTTCAACCACCATTAATATAAAATATGAAAATATTAAATGTATTATTTATAATAAAAAATAATAAATTATTTCAATTATTTGCGTTATTTTGATTAACCAATCGGATAACTCAATCATTTCGTTTAGTTTTTGGTAATAATTGTGATGCACATTAACAATTATCTGAATGCACAATAATACTAAATTAAATGCACCTTAATTCGTTTGGTAATGCACATTAGCGTGACAACGATCACTTTCACAATGTATTACAATTTTGGATACTTCATACCGATTTTGACAAAAAATAAATAAATAATGATAATATCAGAACCGACCGAAATACAATAAAAAAACATTGGTTTTATTAATTTTTGACAAACAACAATAAAAAATATTAAATAAAAATTGTGGCTACTAAATATATATTTTATTTTATAAATAGTTTTATAAGTGCACAATAATATTAATTAAATTACACATTATTAAAAAAATTTAAACCGTGTATTTGTTTTTTTTATATATTTTTATATACATGTATATTAAATAATAAATAAAAAATAAAATTAATATAAAATAATAATAAATAAATTTTTATAATATAAATAATACATTAATTTGATTATTTCAATTTGATTTTAGTTCTTATTTGCACATAAAAAAGTCTACGTTGCTGAATGCACAATGTTATTAAACGAGATGCACATTATTGTTTGTCATGTTGCACAATAGTGTCAGAAAGAATGCACATTAATAGGTACCAGTATGAACATTACCATGAAACTATATTTTTGCACAAATATTAAAAATTTGACTAATATGATTTATAAATAATTAATAATTTATATTATTTAAGTAAATTCAGTTATCCCAATCGAATAAATAAAGTTAATTCAATTAATAATTTATTTCAATTATTTACGTCAATTCGGTTAACTAGGTTAATCAATAGTTTAAATTTGAACAAAAGATTGGTTGGTTCAATCTGCATAATACAGACCGATGTCGTGCACTATAGTGATGTACGAATTGCGCCTTAATACTTCTTAGATTGCACCTTATATTTCGTTTATATATGTACAATTTTTTTAATTAAAAAATAATATAAAATGCAAAAAAAAATAATTACTAATCATGTTCTTTTATAATAAATAATATAATTTATGTCAGTCATTTCGATTATTTATGTTAACTGAAAAATTAAACCGTTTATGTCAAAACCAAACTTTTCATTTCGAATTTTAAAATTTCGGTTCAATTATCACTTTTTACATTAAAAAACTCGATTATGTCAATTAGTTTTCGACGTTTTCTTTGATTTATTTAGATAACAAAAAATCTCTTTTATTATTATTCATTATTACTATGTAAAAATATTATTATTTTTTTATTGTGCATCTTATTCATAATTATTGTGCATTTATTTAACTTTCATTATATTACATATTGGCCCTAAGTACTAAATTGTAAATATATTAAAAGCTAAGAATTGCATAAAAGTCCCCTCACCATGTCTAATTTTCAAAAATATGCCCCAATACCAGATCTGTAAAATCTCGTCCCAACACCTGCTATTCATAATTCATCACTGTCAATCTCCGCCGTACGTCGCTGCATCGACGGCGGCTCTCGACTCCATCAGTCTTGCCGTTGACCACTGTGTAGTTGCTCACGTCACCACGTCCGATCCCGATTCCGACACGGCGACACCATCTCCGACTGCAATAGTAAATCTCGTCGCCGTTCAAAGCCTGCTCATCGTCACCACGTCATCATCGTCCACAGCTTCCTCGCTCCGCCCCTGGGACCATGGATCTCCCAGAACACGGCGAAGAGACCACCGCTGGATAGTGGTTTCGAACAACCTGTTCGCCGGAACTCGAAATTTGAACACGGAGATGTCGCGGTGACTGAGGCGGCCAATTTAGTGATGATTCAGACGGCGACGGGACAGTCGACGACCAATTCATGGAGATTCCGATGGCTACGGGAAGTGCGTGTGTTTGTGTGTGTGAACTGTGTGTGCGTGTGTGTGCTCGTGTGTGGTCGCTGTGAACTGACAGATTGTTGTGTGTGTCAGTCTCTATTGTCGCGCGGAGGCACGGCGGTTGCGTGGAGGAGGCACGGCGGTGACATGGAGGGTGCTGGAGGATGTTGACGGAGAGTAGGCGGATCCTGGTGTGTGTTTGTGTGTGTAATAGAATTAGGGATGGTGGGATGGGTGGGATCCACTGGGTGAGTGCTCAATTATGTAATGCCTAATTTACCCTTAATTAGTGGTATATGTTATATATTTGACTACACAATATCTACTTATTTACGAAATTGCCACCCTAGATTCATTTTTATTTCTTTCACTATCTACTATTCTCACATGATCCCAACTCTATATATATATATATATATTCCCCTAATATTTCAATATTTGCAGAGCTTGAGAAACACAGAATTTCAGAGCAATGCATGAGAAAATTTCAGAAGAAAACAAGGAATTTTTTGGGAATAGATTGTCAAAAAATATGTTTCCAAATGCATTTTCATTTATCCACTACAAACTCATAATAGAAAGCTGTAAATCCTTCCAAAACAACTGATCACTTTTGAACTACAAGTGTGCCAGCTGATCCTATGGATGAAACCGCTCCTGCAAGTGCTTCTGTTGACAATACCACTCCTAATCCTATTGCTTTTGCTTCATCTAATATATTCCCAAAAACATTAGAATACACAAACATTTATCCCCAGAACGTACTTTCGGATAAACTATAAACTAGAAGATATACACAAGACTTAACTTGGAGTTCTTCAAGCAGAACATTTGGAAAACTTAAAAAGAGTTCACAAAAACAATTCCAGAATATCACGGCACCATCTAATTGTGTGAACTTACCAAGATAAACATATACCAAACAATGATTACTCGAGTCACCATGATGAAGTTGTTATCCATACAAAAAGCATACCTTTCAATTACAAATGAGATAACAAAGTTTACCATAAACAATTAAGTGCAATCCTCGAACACCCTTTGCAAAATCCTGAAATATTAGCCTTAGCAGTTAGTTTCCTAATATTCTCAAAATCAAGAGGATGCTTCCAACCTGGTGACCTGAATATAGCTTCAAGTAACAAAATATGGATAGTTAAGGAAACAAACTTAGGGGGCAGTGATTTCTTTGAAGTGCCTAATTGCTATACAAACACAAATACTTATAAGTATTAAAAGCCAACCCATTTGTTTGAGGTTAATTTATAAATACAAACAATCATATGGAGGTACATTTGCAGTTTCATATATAGCAGGTCATTATTTGCATATAACCCTACAATATACTACAAAGACGCACTCGAGGAATACATATGATTCCTAAAACAGTTCCTAAAGCCCCAAATCAAACTTCAATATTCAAACCACATCAGGCAACTAACAATAGTTTCATTACATATATCAATGATAGCGGCAAACCCGTGTCACCACAAGGAAAAGGAAAATAAATTGGGTGAGAAAGATTTACCCCAAGCCGCTCAAGAGCTTCACGTAATTGCAACAGAATATCTACATGAGATCTTATTAGTGTTCACTCACTTGTCAAATAAGCAAGACAATGACAAGCAAAAATCACATTGCATGACCTTAGTGCCATAGAGAATCGAAACAGATCACACGAGAACGTTCAAACAAAGTGAGAATGAATAATCATATAAAAATAGTGGCTTTAGGACAAAAAACCACACCTGTAAAGCACAAAGCAACAGCACTAAAACCCGCATAAAGTAGAGTTTATGACAACGAATACCTACCTCGACCTTTTTCTCCTCTAATTATATCGGTGATAGGAGATTTTGTACAGTCTCAAATAGAGCTGTGAGAACAGAAAAACATTTTTACTCATCGTCAAATGTAACTTCAAAAGAGACTCCAAACCACAATGACACATTAGACATCGGTTGTTCATTAACAAAGGAGGGGTGTCTACCTCTTCAGCATTCAGATATAATAATAGACGAAAAATGCTCTAACGTGCGCGTCCGGGGCTTCGACGACGACCGTGCCTTACTGGAGAATGTGACCTGCTTCTATCACGCTCTCGATATCTATCCCTACTGCTTTCTCTCCCATTACGGGACCTGTTGCTGTTTTTTCTATCCAGTTTTCCCCGACTATTATCCCTTTCTCGGTATCTGTCATAATCCCGATCACGATACCTATCCCTGTCAGCCGAGCTGCTTCTTCGTCTGCTCTCGTACTCTTTCTCTCTCAGCTTTCTTCGTTCTTCGGCTTCTTTCTCTCTGGCCAGTCTACCTTCTTCTCTTGTCTTCTCACTGGCTTCCTGGCAATTGATAGAAACTTGCAAGTGAACAACTATTACAGAATACATGTATAAGAGTTCTAGCCTAATTACAAAGATCCCAAAAGATCTTTCAAATGTAGAACATAAATCGTAAAGATCCACATTTGCTAAAATAATACCACCACCCCCACTATAACCCACCCAAATAGAGCCTAAAATCTGTAAAGGAAAAGGTGATAATATTGAAACTACTACTGAGATTTAGCTCAGTTACAACAACCAAACAAGAAAAAGAAGCATATCCAGTAAAATAATGAATAACCCGTTAAGGTAGGTAGTACATTGGAAAACTGTATCCTCGGGACCGAGGTTTTTAGAATAGGACTACTTGTTAAGTAAAAATATGAACCTCAGTGTGGTTATGTAGATTTCTTAGGCTGGTATTTTCCTTGAAAAACCGATCCCTTAAGGGGTACCAAAAGGGCCTACTTGTGAGTCATACACCTTCAGGGATGGTTATTTGCACTTCTGAAAGATAAATGTTTTTTCTGCAATAATATCTTTTGTAATGAAAGTATGCCTCAAAAGTGGTTTCTGTAATTAATCCAAGATAATCATTATATCACCTTATACTCAGCCAGAAACTCCCGGACCATGCCATAACCCATATGCTGCTTGCCAGCAACATGCGACTGAGTCCTCTCGACAGCATCATTTGCTACTAGAAATGAACCACAAACTTCACATAGCGCCATTTTTTTCTCATGTGCCATCATCAGCAGCTTATCTTGTTGGGGTTGCTGAGTCAGGGTGGTCTTCTCAATATTAAGCATTTCAACCTGAAAAGGCACAGTTGACCAGTCAGGTATAATTTATTAGCACACAGACGCTTATATAATTCAAAAGTATGACATGAGCAGAAAAAGGGGATTTAAGAGAATACCTTTCTCATAAGTGCCTCAGCTTCATCAACCTTACCTGCTTCACCAAGGGACTCGACTTGTTCAAGCAGGCTCTTTATCTTTTCTTCCAACACCGACAACTGCTCGGCTTTTTCAACAGGAATTGGAGGAGGTGGGGGAACTTCAACATCTTGTTCAAGTCGTTCACGACCACGCCTAACTCTTCTATCTAAATCTGAGACCTGAAGATAGAGAGAGAGAGAGAGAGAAAAAGAAAAAAAAAAAAAAGAAGAAGAAGGAGAACATTAGTGGACATTAGGAACAGAAATTTGGAACTTCAAATTTGTTAAAAAATGAAAATGTACCAGTCTTTCGCAGAAGTGAGCTAGTTCAGCTTCAAACTTCGGGACATATGAATCATGTCTAGGGGACTTCTCAAAACTACAAAGTACAAAGAGAAACAACATCATGTCAATGAATTCTGAGCTTTACATATATCCATGAAGCTAGTCAAACAATTTACAGTTAATGCAACATGGGCCACAACTTCAACTCCTCAATGATGGGAAACTGCTTAAAAACTGTACCCTGAAATAGTACTTATGCCAAAGCATCAATTGAAATCCATCTTTACAATAACAAAAAGGTAACCTAGGAGCAGTAAATAAGATGTATTGTCTGGGTGCCTTCTCAGAACTAAAAATTGAAACAACAACCTCATTTAAGTTCTAAATAACCTTCCAAGTATATAGTATACTGAAAATGTATGACTATTAGTGATACCATGCCAACTTTTCCAATGCCTCAGGACTAAAAATATCTGTTACACTATTTAAAAAGAAAAAAAAAAGGAAGAAGAAGAAGAAGAAAGATCCATGAAAATGATGTTAACCTACACTAACAATCAAGATGATGGACGTGAAAAGCAACTATGAATGCAGTCTATAGACATATTATACAGATTATTAGATATTAATAAATTACCCTACCATTATATTCACTATTACATTATAGCCCCTTACCCTAAACAAGCGAGCACAATAGAATAATGAAAAGGTAGAAAAAAATAAAATGTATAAGCAACGAAATCGTCAAGATATTAACCCATGCTAAGATTAACACAAGTAAGCTGCTTTTCAGTTAGAATACTGTTAATATTAACAGCCTCAACAAGGAATTCTGGAAGGACCAAAAGGCCCAAAGACAAGTTAACAACTCCATTCCTATCATTTCCAAGTCTATAGAGATCTCTTGACAATTTATCACTCGGAACACCAAAACATCACAGTTTGTCATATCAAAGTCTAACGCCGCCTTTTACTACAACTTATACAGAATGTAGCCAGTAAATAGTTAGCATCTTAAAAGGTAGTCCACCCTTTATTTATAAACATCTGAGCTTCCAACTTTAAAGATGAAATAATCGAATGGAAGACAGAGAACGAAAAACATATCTCAATAGGCAGTCAATCTGACCCGAGAATATGCAACAGCAGTACTAAGAAGCTATGGCTAAAAAAAGTTCAAACTTGAATAAAAATCAAACATAATGAAATAAGAACTGCAGCTATATAAGCGGTTACTACCTTTCCTTCAACTTTGCATCATGAATTTTTGGGCACACACCTGATGCAAACGACACAAGAATTTTAGCAAATTAACATACAAAGTCCGTAAAACCTTTGGACGAATTTCTCACCAAGCCTATCAAAATGCTACGGTCATGGCAGAAAACACAATATTGCGATTGTGAAATAAACTGATCATCTTTCACTGGTTCACTCAACCTCTGAATGGCATATACCAAATTAAGAACCTGATGAAGAAAAAGTATCAAAGTATTACCTAAGTCACTTCGTGTGTTGACAAACAAATCGTGAGGGCAGAACCGAATCATGTAGCAACCACAGACATCCTTATCATCCCATTTAACTTCCCGATGCCCTTTTCTCTCTTCTTCAGTCAAATTACGTGCTACAAAAATAACAGTAACAGCAATTATCAGTCTTAATTAGCCCTGCCTAGTGTTATTGAAAATCACAAATAAAAAATTGTAGATTATCACTAAAAAGATGCAGTGTAACATGAGAGTCGTTTCTAGAATAAATAACCCGGTATTGTTCGCAACAATCAGAAACTCAAAAAATTAACTCCCTAAACTAAAAAGATACGAGGAAAGAAGATAAAATGAAAATTGTCATGCTGTAATATATACAAATCTGAAGCGGATATATATATATATATATATATATATATATATATATATATATAGAGCTCTACCGCCTCTAATTTGGCAATTATGCTAGTTCAGATCGTTTATCCAGATCTAAATTTCGCAGTCATAGATAAACCTCCTAACGCCAGCTTTATGAGCTTAAGAAGTAAATTGAACAACAGTCAAATGACGAATACTAAAAAAAAGACAGGAAGAAAACAAGAAGAACTTGAGTATAGAAAACTTAACCTGAATTTCAAATGAATGAAAGTGCATGGTTCGATTATACAAAATTAGGGTTTAACGCAACGGAGAGTGGGTAACCTGAGCCCATGAGTTCGTCAAGCAAAGCTCTCTGAGCATCCATCTTGTCGAAGATTGGATGTGCCTATGAGCTGGATTCTCGATACAATGGCAACCAATTTGTAGCGTGTTGAGAATGAGGAAACAACTATTTTGAACCCGCGAGTTTTCACACCACCTGTTAATGTTAATTTTTTCACTTCCACAATGTGAAACAAATTATGCGATTAATTATGCTGATTTGCGAAAATAATTTATAAATAATGAAACAAATTATGCAATTAATTGTGAGATAGATGGACGAAGATAACTGATAAAGTATCAAATGTGATAAACCAGAAATGCTATGGAACCATCGAATGGTTCCCTTATGGAGCCATCCATAACTTTATGTATTGACACGTGTCCAATGTGTATTTATTGCAGGATACATGTCAATACATAATTTATGGATAACTATGGATGACTCCATAAGTCGAGCCATCCAATGGCTCAATAGCAAAATCGATGTGATAAACTACATGACAACCTCTGAAGATAATCGATACAGATGATAAACTACACAAGAAGATAATCGATAGATTGAAAAATAAATATGTGATATGATATGCCACAGATAGTAAAAATAATTGATAATGTATAAAATATTTATGTAATAAACTATGCGACAAACATGCGAAAATAATTGATACCATTGTTCTAAAAATCGGTCTAGGTGGCCGCCTAGGCGCTAGGCGGTGCCCGGCCGCCTCCGATTTGCACAAATCAGCCGAAAAAAATCGGCCAGGCGGCCTTAGGCGCTCCTAGGCGGACTTGACGGGCTCGGCGGCAGGCGGTTAGGCGGCGCCTAGGCGGGAATAGGAGGACCTAGGCGCTCCTAGGCGGGCTCGGCGGCAATTTTTCAATTTTTTTATTTTATTTTTTTAAATACTAATTACATTATTTTGTTCTCATGTTTTCTATAAAATATATTAATATTATTATTTGGACTTAGGTGTGTGGATTTATAATAAGTTTAGATAGTTTAATTTGTAGGTAGTTAAAATAAATAAAAAATAAGGTATTAAAATTGATTTCTAGGTGCCGTCTATGCCCCGACTAGGCGCTCTAGGCGCTAGGCGCTGGTCGAACACCTAGCAACATTTAGAACACTAATTGATACAATGCGAAACAAATAATTTGTTCAACTATGCGAGACAATGGCGAAGATAATCTAGCAAGTGCGATCTCACTATGTGATAAACTATGGGACAGATAAACGAAGATAATCGATAAATTGTGAAACAATTATGCGATAAAGTATGCGACAGACATGGGAAGTTTAATTGATAAAGTGTGAAATATGGGATAAACTATGCAACAGACATTCGAAGATAATCGATAAAGTGCAAAACAAATTATGCTACAAACTATGGAAAAGACAAGCGAAGATAATTGATAAAAAGTGAACTAGATTATGCGATAAACTATTCGACAGACAGGCGAAGATAATTGATAAAGTGCGAGACATAGAATGCATTAAACTATGCGACACAAATGCGAAGATAATCGGGCAAGTGCGATCTTATAATGCGATAAATTATATAACAGATAGACGAAGATGATTGATAAAGTGCGAAACATATAATGCGTTAAATTATGCAACACAAAGTCGAAGTTATGCGATAAACTATGTGACATACAATTGAATATAATTGGTAACGTACGAATCAATTATGCGGAAGACAGGCTAAGATAATGGAGCAAGTGCAATCTCAATATGCGATAAACTATTATGCTAAAGAGAGGCGAAGCTAATTGAGCAAATGCGGAATAACTATATGATAATTACTATGCTCCATAGAGGCGAAGTTAATTGAGCAAGTGCAAAATACTTATACGATAAACTACAGTGAATAGTTCGATCAATCGCGGGTCTTTCGAATTTTAGTCGCATATTAGCTTTTTGCACCTGTTTAAATATTTTTCCAGTTTCTCCTCAATTATCAACTTTTTGTTAAGCCCTAGAAAGGTCATCCTCTCGAGAACGATGTACCAGAATAACGTGAAGGAGGTTTTCAACATCTTGAATCCTTAAAGTATTTAAGAATGGAAATTCCCAAAGCAATGAATCGGAGGATCGTGCGTCAGGCCGAAATCAACAACCAGAGGAACCTTATGAAAAACGATAGGGACGACGACTTTTATGAACTGATTGAGCATACGATGATCATTGACGAGAACCATGCAATTAAGACATGAACCTGTGATCGGTATGCGAAAGTAGTAGGTCTTAACCACGAAAAACATAATATTTTTTTTTGTTATACATAGTGTTAGAGATGTGGATGAAATTTTTTGGACTTTATTCATGTTGTATTTATACTGATACATATCATTTGAAGTTGCCCCTTAATTATTTATGTATTATTTATTGATATTTCACGTTTTGAGACTTGTAAAAGGAACTATTCGAATGACTTATTTGATTCACAACATGCGATTCATTATGAGAAAATTTGAATTGCAGAATCCTTTTATTTATTTCTTTTATTAAAAATGCGTCGGAACTGTGATCCGCAAAACTATTATTTTTATTTTGTTACTAAAATATGCTATTAGCAGGCAAAATATTATATGCATAATTAATAGCATATTAATTTATTTAAAATTTTCTTTTGATAAATCCGTAAGTAATCTTCAGTTATTACATAAAAGTTGTTCTGACGCATATAAGTCACATAGTTATTATTAAAATAATACGGAAGCATTTCAGACATGCTTCGATAGGCTGCCAAAGAGATATGAATATTGAATCGCAAAAACAACTAATCACATACGTGATTGCGTCGGAAACTGCAATTCATTATGCGACTGTTTTTTGCGTCAAAATAGATCATAGAGTAATAACCTTTTTCAAATTGTAAACTCAATTTCTGCGATCAAATTGCGTAAGAGATATGTGGGAATCGTGATCCTCAGAACCATTATTTTTATTTTGTTATTAAAATATGCGACTAGTAGGCGAAACATTATATGCATAATTAATCGCATATTAATTTATTTGAAGTTTTATTCTTGGTAAACTCGTAAGTAATCTGCGATTATTACATGAAAGATGTTCTGACGCATATTTGTCACATTGTTATTAATAAATAAACAAAAATCAAAGCATTTCAAATACGCTACGACAGACTGCCAATTAGATGGATTATTGAATCGCAAATACGACTGCTTGAAGACGTGATTGCCTCAGAAAATGCGAGTCATTGTGCGAGTGTTTTCGCGTTAGAATAGATTGCAGAGTAATAATATTTTTCAAATGGTAAATTCACATTACGCGACTAAACCGCGTTAAGATAAATGAAAACTATGATCCTCGTAACCATTATCTTTATTTTTTATTCTAATATGTGATCATTAGGTGAATCAACAAACCCATAATTAATCGCAAATTAATTTTATGAAATTTTATTTTTGATCAATTCATACTCTGGGATTAGTACTCGACAAGTGTTCTGACGCATATTTTTCTCATATTTCTTATTTAATATAAAAAGAAAAATAATGGAAGCGTTTATTCCCTTTCAGATGTCGAGAAAAATTGGCCTTCAATGAACTAAAAGAGCTGTAAGTGACGTCATGACATATGAATTTGCTAAAGACTACAAATGGTGAATTCAAATTCTGCTATTAAACTGCGTAAGAGATACGTCAGGACTGTGATCCTCAGAATAATTTTCTTTATTTTTTATTAAAACATAAAATTATTAGGTGAAACTTCAACTCATAATTAATCGCATAATAATTAATTTAAAATTTTATATTTGGTAAATTCGTACTTTGCGATTATAACTCGACAACTGACGCATAATTATAGTGACAGGGTTATGGATGAATTTTTTTGGACTTCATTCATGCAGTATTTATACTGATACGTAATGTTCAAATTGTCTCTTAATCATTTATGTAGTTATTTATTGATACATGACGTTTCAAGGCAAGCAAAAATTACTGTTCGAGTTACGGGTTTGCTTTAGAAATGCGAGTCATTATACGACTGATCATTTATGTAGTATTTAATTGTTTATTGATATATGGCCTTTCAAGGCATGCAGAAACGATTGTTCGAATGACGGTTCTGATTCGGAAAATGCGAGTGAGTATTCGAGTGCTTTGAATCGTAGAATAATTATATTTATTTCTTTTATTAAAAATACATCGAAACTGTGATCCGCCGACTATTTTTTTTATCCTGTTACTAAAATATGCAAAACATTATATGCATAACTAATCGCATAATAATTTATTTGAAATTTTATTTTTGATAAATTCATAAGTAATTTGTGATTATTACACGAAAGTTGTTCTTATGCATAGTAGTCACATAGTATTATTAAATACAAAAAAAAATAAAAAATTGAAGCATTTTAGATATGCTACGACAGACTGCCAAAGAGATACGACTGTTTTGAATTGCAGAAATGACTATTCGAAAACGTGATTGCCTCAAAAAATATGAGTCATTGTGCGACTGCTTTCGCGAATAGATTGCAAAGTAATAATATTTATCAAATGGTAAATTCAAATTCTACAATTAAATTATGAATCATCAAACGCATAATTAATCACATATTAATTAATATCTATTTTTATTTTTGTTCAATTCGTACTCTGCAATTATTATTTAACAGCTATTCTACCTCTTATTTGTCGCATAATTATTATTTAATACAAAAGAAATAATACAAGCGTTTTTTCACTTCCAAATGTCAGCGATTACTTTATTATTACTCTTCCATTGTTACATATACATTCCCAAAGAACAAAACAAAGAAGAAAGAAGGGAAATTGGCCTTCAATCTTTGAACATTACTTCACATAGTTAGAACTAAAAAAACTGTAAGCGATGTCATGGCGTATGAATTTGCTGAATATACCAATGGTTAATTCAAATTATGCATAAGAGATACGTCGGAACGGTGATCCTGAAAATAATTATTTTTATTTTTTTATTAAAACATGCTATTATTAGGAGAAACTTCAACACATAATTAATCGCATATTAGTTAATATTTATTTATTTTTTGTCATTTCATACCCTCTGATTATTAATCGACAATTGTTCTGACGCATAAGTATAGTGATAGGGATGTGGATGAAATTTATTTGGTTTTTCGTCTTCATATATATAGTATTTATATTGATATGTAAAGGTTGCGAATAAAGGTTCCG